CTTAATATTGTCGCTCACCGTCTTAAATAAATAGCTTTAATAACCAATTTAACTCTGGATTATTAAAATAAATAATTGATTTATAATAATCGGCCTTTGCATATATTGATTTGTATTATTTTGTGTTTAATAAATACCCTAAAAAATATAAATAAATAAATAAATTATTAGGGAAAATTATTATATATTAAATTATAAATTAATAATTATAATAAAATCTGATTACGATTTATTTTTCATACCTTTTGGGAATCATTGTTCAATCTACGGGACAACAATCAACATAAAATCAATGAAACGCGTAACGGAGAGAATACACTGATATCGGTAGTTCATGTCATAAAGACGATTTGTCTCACAAATAGTCCCATTATATTTCAGAGATATCGTTTTTGTTTTTTAACATCTTAACACATACTTACCGGTAATAACATAATTTGTCTATTTCCGATTTAATGATTGATTGAACTTGAGTTCGTATAAAAAAAAAAAAAAAAAACCGTTAAAAATGAATTTCAAGCACCGGCCACAGTATTCTTGCAGTGACACAATCATCTTATGAACAAAACTTTTGAAACACCTGTATACAATGCTATTATAAACATAAAGTTTAGAGAATCTATTAAATTTTAACTAGACATTATTTATATTGAATTATATTTACAAGCTTAAAGTTGTCATTAACAATTAATTGAATGTTTTGCAAATAGTACTTCTCAAAAAATTTCATAATTTAATTCACACAACTATTATAATATTAATTACTACGTTTAATGTTTAATTATTTTATATTTTATAACCTATAACATAATATATTTTCAAACAAGTATAATGTTTAAGAAAAACGTTTACAATTACTTAAGTAAAATAATTTCATGGATTTTATAGTACGACACATACTATACGAAAAAATAATAAAGATTTTATATTTTTTAAACAGATAATTAGTTTATTTTATTAAAATAATGTGATTTTTTTTTTCTTCAACAAATATGGGCAACCTTGATTTACTTCTTTCAAATTAAATAATTAGTTCAAAAATTGTTTATTATAAAATGTATGTTTGTTTATAAATAAATCCAAAATTTCGTTCCCCTATTATTCGTCTTTACAAAATGATTAAATTAAGTTTTAATATATTAAAATATCTCACTTGTACCTTTATACTAAAATTGTATAAATAAATCTATGATTATAATTTAAATATTATAAATTGTGAATGTAAGAGTCAACAAATATTTTAAAATCATTAAACACGTACTCCATACACGACATTTTTTTAATTTTATTTAGATAAAGGCTATACATTGTATGTATTGAATTTAAACTTTTGTTTAATTTGAGCTTTAATTTTATCTCTAAAATGTCCAAAAGAAAAAGTTTTTAGTTTAGAGGTTAAGACAAAATAAGTTTATGTGTTTAAAATCTAAATCATCTAAATAATTAAATCATTCTTTTTTATTATTATTTCTAGAAAAAACTATTGTATTACTTTTTTTTTAGTTTAACTATTATAACGCATTTAATTGGGTATCAACATTCATTGTATTATTTGTAATATAGTATTATGTTTAAAATGTAGAATAATTAAAAATTGTAATCAAATCAATTACAATGTACATCACTTAGCAAACTCATAGTTTTATATATAGTTTCATATTAAAAACTTTGTTTAATTTTTATCAGGAATAATATTAATTGATAGTTTTTAATTGAAAGATCATTGATTAATGACAATTAAATAATAGATTAACGTTTATAACATATATATACGATCTTTGTTAATTGAGATTATTAAACAAGGAAACCTATAATGTTTAGCACGAATATTAAATAAGAATTATACAACATAATTTTACTTCATATATTTGATAAATTTATCCATTGCATTGTATCTTTGTCAAATAATAATATGGAATATCGCAAATAATGGTAAAAGATTTTGAAAATAATGAAAATAATGATTTTAACAACATTTTATTTTTTGTTTTTTTTTTTTTTTTTTTTTTTTTGTTATTATTGATATTTTATACTTATATTTATAAAGTATTTTATGAAAACAAACATTCAAACTTTCAATTGGTAGGATAGTATACAATTTAAAGTATACTTATCTTCACTGATGATTACCCTGGATATTACATAGGGATTAATTTATTATTAATTTAGACCACGTTAGTACCTAATATTAAAGTTGAAGCTATCTAAAAGTAAAAATTATGTATATATACAATTTCGATAATATATGCAACTGAAATAGAATAAATTTAATATAATAATTAACATTAAATCTCAAAACTATTATATAGTGCAACATTATAATTTATAAGATTAATTCTTGAAAGATATTATTACTCAACATTAACGATAAAGACAAATTATTATTCATATTTTAGTGTTTTAAAAAGAAATGTAATACGTTCGTCTTTGTTTAACTGAATTGAGTATTCAGTTATTTTGTTTAAGGATAGTATTAATATTTTGCACAATAAATGCACATAATAATGTGGAATTATATTATAAAATACATATATGCATTATAGATATTTGTGTAAATATTAATACAATTTTTAAATGTTGATTTCTAGTAAATTATATAAATTAAAAATAAAGTTTGATAATTATAGTTAAATCAAAATAAATTATTTTAAAAACTTTTTTTTTATTATTATATTTAAAAAAAAAAAAATATCAGTCTATAATCATTATTAGATTATACAATGACTAATTACTTTTATTGATTAAAAAATAAGATAAATTGATGTTTAATACAATGTATTAACTGTATTGTGTATAAAACTAAAACATAATATAATGCGACTGTTTTAATATCATTACATTTTATTTTTTTTTTAATTTACATTTATAATTTTAAAAATAAAATGATAATATACTAAAACCGATGATATTATATATTTTGGAGTAATGAGATTACTACTAGTTATCTAAAGATAGAGATAATTAAAACCAGTTGAATTCAATACGTCTTATTATTTCGAAGTTCTAAATAAATTAGTTGACCTAATAAGTCTAATAATGTACATACTATATGCAAGGTTTATTTTATTTTAGGAACATCAAAGACATTTAATGTAAGATTTAGATAGAGACAATACAATCTTTCCCTCGGATTTTGATACTTAGCTTTTGAACAATTTAAAACATATGGACGGCAATAACGTTAAATTGAAATAGTTGGAGATATAACAATTTTAGTGTTATATGCAATGATATTGTGATGCTTGATGAATTTAAGATAGAATTAGAAAGAAATAAAAGAAAACTTACTGAGATAAGTTAAGCAATAGACCTTCAAACACGTTAAGATAAGAACAGATATATCCTGATAAGTAATAATTACAAATCAAGTTATCTTTTAAAACAAGTATAGATCAGTTATCTTCTGAAAAAAATTAAATTTTAAAATACCTTAGGTACTATTTTAAAGTATAAAAACAACATCTATGCGAAAATAAATTTGATTATAAGTATCGGTCGAGGAAATAACATAAAAATAAAAAACCATCAAAACTAATTTAAATAGATACAGACGATAAAATTTACATAATCTATAAATCTAATATATTGACCATCGTAAATGACGTAAAAAAGACCAAACTTATATCTTTCAAAAGTAAAATTTAAAAAAAAAAATTCAAAGGCCTTTGTTAGAAGCTGTAGAAAGAATAAAAATATATGATTCCTTCGTAAACTCTTCAGGCACGTCGCAAATGTCATTTAAGATAACTACTAAGTAGCTGTTAATTTCAAGCTGTTTGGCTCGATTAGATTATTAGTTAAGATAAAATGTTTTGAAAACTTATTTCTAGACTATTTCTAGAAAAGTCTAATATCAATATAATATGTTATTCATTTTATTTTCTCACAGTCGTTACTTTTTTAAGAACATACTAAAAAAAAAAAAAAAAAAAATAGAATCGATTTCATTCAATTTATAATCTGGTGTTGTGAATAAAATCTAGTTCTTTAAAGAAAAGTACAAAAATAATAAAAGCAATAAACTCTTAAAATATCAAATAAATATTATTTTTTTCCTACCAGGAACCACATATAAATTTAGAAATTTTAGTAATTTTACTATTTCAAAACCTAATAACGCATATAAAAACACATAGAGCTCTATGTCAAATACATTACGCCGAGAATCTAGAAAAAAAGTGTTTTAAATTTTAATAATTTTGACTATCGATGCAATATCTATGAATATATTCTATTGAATAATGATATAATATTATACCTGGGTACGTTAAGTTATATCATTATAGTACTAAATACTATAAACATGAATTAAAAAAATAATTTAATAAGTTATTCAAATTATAGTTAATCGATAATTTGTTGCATATAAATATATATATATTATGTTTTAGTTCATTTGTTTACTAGTTATTGATGTAAATTATTGACGTTAACCAATCTAACTGTCAATTCGATAACCACCATTAATTCTGAGTAAAAACTGTATGATAACTTGTATACAATATGACGTATGTTTATTTAAAAATGTAAACATGTTGATACCAATGACAGCATGTATTTACATTCCACGGAAAGTCATCTAAGTCAAATCACTTTCGCACCATATATATATATATATATATATATATATATATATATGTATATGTTATTTATATACAGAGTTACTACTATTTAACCTACACTTAACAGATTGTAAGTTTATGGCATTGTTTTTGATATATAAACAAAAAATTACATCATAACATTGAACCATCAAGTCATCTCAACTGTATCCATTCACAAACTAAAACCATTTAATTCTCATAGTTTTAATAACGTATTTGTTCTCGGTTCTATGGAAGTTTGTCAAAAACGACATGTACAGTAATATAAAATGAGTAACATAATCCATATTTGTTTTGTTACACTGTAATGCAGTTGACAGGAAACAATCATGTCGGAAAACACCTGAAATAACATGATCGAAATTACGTTGTATGAAAAATCGTATAAAACCCACAGTTTCTGCACTAGACGTCAATTTTGGTTTTCTATACTATCAGTAGTAAATCGTACTGTTACAAACAAACAAAATGACGGTTAAAATTTCAATTTTTGCTGTCGCTATGGTACGTATATTTTAATAATAACTATTGTTAACGAAATAACTTACGATAATTCTAACCTAATAATATAATTTTTATAATTGTTGATACTATTCATTTTATTTTATTAGTAAGAACAATTATTTAGTTTAGTCAGATATTTTTTTGCATATTATACACTTTAAAATTAGAGTATTTGAATTTTCATTTGAACGTTAAAAACAAAATATCCATCCCAAACATATATTATTACTATTTTAAACGGTATCTTAAAATAATAATAAGGCCTGTAATGTATATATTTTATTTAAGAAATAAAAATATTTAAAGTGAATTTTTCAAAAGCGTCATTAAAAAAAAAAAAAAAAAAAAAAACAAATACATATTAAATTTTATTAAACAACAGCCGAAGACTAAAATGTTGGATTCTATGATTTTCTTAGATTGTGACCTGTGTCTGCGCTGATGTTATGTACCAGCCATCGACATTAACAATGACAATGCCATATATGCCCTACTATCCAATGGATTCACCAATCTACAATGAATACAAGAAAAGTATATACACTCTGAACCAAGCTTTAGGAAACATATGTTTCGCTTCTCAAAATGCATACGACTACAGCACGTTATACAAAGACCAAGCTAACGTCAATCTAGAACTAAACGAATCTAAAAACAGATTTGAAAGAGCTCTAAGACACTTCGATGAGAAAATGAATGAATACCGCCAAGCGTTGATGAACTACAAAATGTTATTAGGGTATAAAAACCCAGTGCCCATAACAATGCCTACTCCAATGCCTACTCCAATCACATTGGATGACAACATTACCATCGACCCTGCTGTAATGTAATTTCTAAATATTACATAATTTTAATATTTTATTAATAAACTGATTTAAAAAATGTTGTCAAACATAAAAACTTGTATTTTATTTTTAAGCGATCCTGAACGATTAAGATTTTATTTCTTATTTCAAATCTTTTTTTTATTATCGATACCTTATTTATAATAAACATCTTATTATTATTGAGCATATATTATATAAGACGTATAAAAAATGTATTATATACTCATATTTAAATATGAGCTTTAGCCAATTGATTGTAGTTATAAAAATAGTCAATATTAGAAAGTGGCTCTATCATGTGATTAATACTACCTATATACCAACGATACTGAATTAAGTTTAATAAATAATAAATAATTTATATTTAAAAATGATACTATTAATTTTATTTATACATTTCAAATATTGATATTTTTACACAAATTGTAATGGAAAACTATTTTGTCGTTTTCTTTAAACCCGTTACTCCGATTTATTGCATCCTGCATCAAAAACATCGTTTGATTGAAAAGTAACAATTATTATTTATTTTTTCTCTTTTTTTATTTTCTATTACCATCGAGAGACAGAACACAATCTTTGAGAGATTTTTTTGTTTCGTTTTTATTTATTTTTAATTTTTTTTTTTTAAGAAATTATTATTTTTTTTTAATTTGAAATTTAACTATTCACTATTTTCTTAAATCAAAATAAATAACTGTAAAATATATAAAAAGAAAATATCTATTATAATATATTATATATATTATTATTATAAGCATTAAAAATCTAACTTTACTTGTGAGACAAAAAAATCACATTGAAAAAGATATATTTACTTAAAAAAAAAAAAAACAGTACTTTTAAAATTGTTTTTACCACTCTACTCGTAATTTATTTACATTGTTAATTATTGATCTCGTAAGTGTTAACAGTAATCTGAATATTTAAATATTTAAAATCATTTGGTGAATAATACTTAACAGTTAGCGAAAGAAGTTCCGATCCGGATCAGTTGGTTAAAAAAAATAAATAATTTAATTGGACTGGAAGGTTATAACTCAGTAAATCTTCTGATTAAAATACATCACTGACTGCCAAGAATTAAAAATCAAAAGCATTAACTGCAAGATAAGAATATGTTTTAGACCTGTTTAACTAATTTATAATATTTCCGATTTCAAATATTTTCTATTCATTAAATTTAAAAGTATTTTATTTTTATTACGTTCGATATAACTAGAAACTGGCATGTAAAGCGGGGATAGTAGACACATGAAATTATAGTTCTAATTATATGAAGTATTAGATAATAATAATAAATACTCAACAGTATATTTAGACCATATAACTAAAAAATTAAAAAAATATAAAAAATTATTTAATGACCTTAAATCTTGTAAAATCACATTTATCTTTACGTTTTTAATTTTTTTTAAATAAAAATACCCTAACTAATAAAAAAAAAAAAAATAATAATAATATGCTGTGTCCCACTATACACTTAACTGTTTCCAATCTTGTTTAAAATTCATAATCATGATTAAAATGTTTTATCTTTAAATGGAAAATTAACTAATTCTGAAACAATACTGTGCTAGTTATTATGAGTGATTCTTGGATTAAAGTATTTTAAACAATTCAAAAAAATATACGAATCATGCAACATTGAATACTAGAAAACAATTTATCTTTAAACATTGATGAAAAGTTTAGCACACAAATTAATTAACAATGATTACCCCCTAGTATTATAATTAATATTTCGTGTGGTGGTTCTGATACAACAAAATTTCACAATCTAAAAATAATACAGAGCAACATAATTGGAATTATTTTAGATAAAATGTACTACTTATTTAATTTAATCTTAAGTGTTATAAATCAAAAAAACAATTTGTATAACAGCTTTGATTTTCCTATCTAAAAATAATTTAATGAAAGCACCTAATCATAAAATCAACTCAAAGTATAGAACTAACAATATTATCATTCCTAGAACAATAAAACATATTATTCAATCATCATACCATACGTAGAACTATATTATTAAATATGTATATATTTTATTTTCCACTCTTAAGCATTTTAAATAAAAAATTTCTAAACTTTAAGATATGATTAAATAAATAATTTAAGTAACAATTAGTGTAATTATGAAAAAAAAGTTATTATGATTTTAGCTAATCAATAAATGTTTCATGCCATATTATACTAACGGTATGTTTATTATATAAATATTTTTTTTGTTTTTGGAGATTTATGTAAATATCATATTAATACTAAGAAAAACATTGGTTAGATAAGGCTTAATGGGCTTATGAAGTGGGGTGTATTCTATAAATAAATAAATAAATTAGCATAGTACAATAAATGAGGGTAAGAGTTAATATAAACTGTTTATAATATTTGATAAAAATTAATAAGTTATAATTAAAACGAAACACATAACTAATGATATGTATTCAACATTATAATAGCACTATGAAGACAGGACAAAAAAAAAAAAGTTGATATACTGTCTTGAGTGAAAAAATGAAAAAATGACAATGATTATAAAGTGGTCCAATTACTGCTGTGATACATTGTATAGTGTTCATGGCTACAATATTTGAACGTAACTGATATGAGAAAAATTATTATAATAAGCTATAAAGAACCAAGGTAATGGTTTAATGATACATAATAACGATAGGTTAGTAATGGTATATTATGCGAAGTGTCACAAATCTGATAGTATTAAAATAATGATCGTAATTTTATTAAACTATTGGCACTATTGATTTTAAGTTAAACGTACACTTGTTATTAACACATACATTTTTATCGAATAAGGTATTTTAAATATTAAATTACACTTCAACAAAAAGCACATTTAAATAATTGTACCGAAACCGAAAGATCATCTCGAAACTTTTAGTTTTTGCCAACAAACTAAACAATTCATTGAGATTAGTGTTAGTGAAAACCATTGGAGTAAAACTCACTCAAATATTGACCATTATAAACCAAACAATAATAATATATACCAAAATGCCAATGATAATTTAAATTAATTCATGAGCATTTAACAGCAGTATTTATAAGAGGTATTTCATAACATTAATATTGTCTACAGAAAATTTTTTTTTTATTTCCGGTACATTGTGATAAAATCATACAAAATTTATTATAATTTATGAATTGAATTAAATTCTTAGAACTCAAAAAAAAAAAAAAAAATTACTATTACGTATGTATTTTCTAATACAATTTTTATGTTGAAAATACGTCCTTAAGTTTTCCAATAATTCCTAATTAACGAATGGAATGCATATATATACGTATATATATATTTATCATGTGTGGATTCTATTCTATAATAACTGGTCATATTATTTGCATATAAAAAATAAATATAGATTATTTTTCCCAATACATAACCATAGATTGAGCGCAAAATTTAATTAAAATTATCTGATTTATAAGTATGATAAGATTTGATTTTATTTAAACAATACATATTATACATATTAGGCAAGTAGCATACTTGTAGTTTTTAACTTGATGATAGTTTTAATATTTCAAATAAATAGGTAGTTTAATGTTTAGTTCTACAACGTGAATAATCGTAAGGTAAAAAAAAAAGGCATTTTTCAATATCTATAATATTTGCTTTAAGAAATATATCTTAGATTAGGTTTGAAAAAAACACATCATATTAAACGTATCTTTTTTTGTCGTACAATAACCGTGAGAATGTCAAATGAATAAAATTATAAATAATTAATTTGATGAAGCGACCATCCAACAACAGCACTTGTTAAATAAAAATAAAAAATAAATCATTTTTGAGGTCACAACTTTTTCATAATTCAAAATAATAGAAAAATACATTTCTTGTTATTTATTTTTACTTTAAAGTATTTTTTAGTGTACTTTTTACAATTTTCAATAATTTTTTATTGATACAAAATTGTCTACACCTATATACAAATCTATCCCCATTTAAAATTATGAATTGTGAGTTGAAGTCTAATATTTACAAATAATGATAACATTAAAAACGGAAATTAATAACCAATCAATAAAATATTACAAATTAACGTATTCTGTTCAAATACATAGAACGATATATATATATATATTAACTCCTAATAATATTGCTAACAACTTATTAGTAATTAGTTTTAATCTTATCACCCGGTATCAATCACATTAAACTAACTATCGTTTAAATAGATTTATAAACTGTAATGCATATTTCACTATTGAAAAAAAATGTATTCAGAGGATACTATTATTTTGACCAATTAGTTAACATAATTTATATACATTTGATACAGCGTTTTCATTTTATAAGTACAGTTTTAAGTTTGAAAAAGTTAAATTATAAATTGGACATGAAACAGTTTTAAGCTGGATTGCGGTCTTCTTAATCGCTTTTATTACTTAAACAAAAAAAAATAAATAAATAAATAAATAAATAAAATATAAACATAATCATGAAACTAATAGCATTTTTAAATATATGTTCAGCATAATGTTTTATTATTAATTTAAAAAAAAAAAAAAACATTTATCTAAGCAAAAAGGAATATTTAAAGAACTTTTAATTTGTTTTTAAAAATATTTGAAAACTATTTAAAGACTTATTGGAAAATTAAGAATGTTTTTTGCTTCAAATCCTGTAAAACTATACTCAAATTTCCGATATACTAAAAAACAAATAATTCGTTTAATTTTCATATATTATACGTATGTGATTTTTGATTGTCAAAAATTTCACGTCATAGCTATAATTTCATATTTCAAATATTTATTGTATTGTCATGCATGTTTAAAATAAATGCACAATGACGTTTATGCTTGTTAAATTTTAATATTTGACTAGTTAAACAAAAATGTTTAAGTTCAGAAAAAAAAAACATTCAATCATCCATCACTATATTATACGTATAATACTATATAGGATGTACCATTTCAAAAGTTATGAAAAATTATTACAAAATTTAATTATGTTTAATTTTTCATAATAAAACTAAAATTAAATATTTTATAACATATTATATAACTAAATATTTATACATATTTGTATGTACTGAGTTCAAATGTTAAACTTTTATTTTAAAATAACATAATAACTCTAGACTAATATTAAACACTATTAGGAATGAATATATATATATATATGGATTCATTGAAAATATTAAAAGTTTTAAGTTATTATATTTTGTACCCTGTATAAACAATGAAATGACTACTCAAGTCAAAATATTTAATATACATGCAACTATTTTTTTATTTGTAAAATAATATAAACTTCACTTGCGTCAACAAATTTAAAAGATCAAACATAAAATAAACTGTATATATATATTGGTAGAATTCATATAGCTTTATTCATTTAAAATTAACATAAATATAAAATTCAACTGTGGAACCTCGACCAGCAATGGCTTTTAAGAAAATGTCGATGTACGCCAGTTTAGTGGTATGTATTCTTTGTAGTATATAAATTAAAATAATGTACCATTTTTAATATATACATAGAAAAACAAATTTAATTACAATTTATAGAAGTGCATAATACGTATTAAAACAAAATAAAACGGGGGAAAGTAGATGACCGCTCTGCTGGAATATAAGTTTAAAGTGCACCTCGTTGAGGAGTAATTATTTGTAATGTATGCGTTAAATTTATATTTAATGATAAATCATTGCTTTTAAAAGCGATTACAGACAATCAGCCAATATTTTATGTTATTGAAAAATGTATTTTACTATAATTTATGCAGTCTATTGAACTATTTTTTTTTTTTTTAAAACATTGAAATTGTAGATCTTATTGTTCAAATAAAACATACTAATATATTTTAAAAATTCCAAGTATCTATAAATACAATTTTTTAACTACAATAAAAAAATTTAAATCCTTACACTTTGTTTAAATATCTAATTTGGTCCAAATTTAAAATTGAAATATTATATTTAAATAATAACAGTGTTTATACGATTTTAAGATTATTTGGTTACAGTATTGGTTACCAATTACAAATATTGTATTCCATTTATAATTATAATTAATTAAATTAAAACGATTTATGAACTTCTAAGAATAAAATAATTTGAAAAGTGTCAACAATTTCATGAATTTAGCTATATTAATCAAAAAATATTGTGACTATAATTTCTGATTAGTTTTATTTTATCAACTTAAAACAATATTCTTATCAAATACATTTATCTTACATTTTAGTAAAATTTCACTTAACATGAATTATTAAATAGATATTCAATTACAACACACAAATATTATATAAAATATTTGAAAAAAATAAAATGTATTTAAAATTTTAGGTGGTAGCTATCATAAGCTGCAATGTACAAAACATTAATGCACAGATGGAAGCATTAATAGATCAAGATTTCTATCAAGTCAAAAGCAGTTTATACGATTTGCAAGAGGCTGAATTTAACTTGATGAATGATTCACAAAAATTAAATGACATGCAAAAAGAATATTTGTCAGGAAGAGCTGACTATTCTGCTGTGGAGCGAGCAAGAAATGAACTAATCAGGTCTAAAAACAAGTGGTTCTCAAAAGTAATGAGATATCTGCATGCATCAAATGAATTTGAGCCTACAGTCAACTATCAAGCCTATCCTCAAAATTTGTATGACTTAGACTCTTATAAAAGTCTAAGTGAAATACCAGTGAACCCACCCACAATCGTAGCATAACCCTCATTTTAATTATTTTTCTTTCTGATGTATGCTATTGTTTTTTTTTTTTTATTATTATTAATCGAACGTTACCGATTTTGATTTAAATAAAACAATTGATTCATCGATAATAATCTATAAGTGTTCTGTTAAAAACATTATATTCCTTTAAAATGTCTTCAGAAAAATAAAAATTTTGCGAGTGTTATATTCCTTTAGGTTTAAAAAAACAAACAAACCGTATAATTATATATACTCGTATTAGGTACTTGACTTTTTCACGAATATAATATGTTAGTGTTTTATGTTTTTACCATTTGTATTTACTTTTTTTTTTATATACAACTATATTCAGATGCATAAGCGGTATTATACTTCTATTGGTTAGCCATAATAAACGAATGACGTGTAAATAATGTGTGATCTAATAAAATTATAAATAATTCAACAGAATAAAACAATCCAAACATCTAAATCAATTATTGTTAAACACCGACAAATTATGAAAAACCGAAAAACTATGATATCAACAATTAAATTGAAACTGAATCATAAAGCATCCAACAGCGTTTGCAAAAAAAAAATGTATATGGATCTACTGGGCAGATTTAATGTAGACATTACAACACGAATAAATATAATATAGTTCAGTGTTATATCTATAATAAAACGATATAATATTTTATTATTATGTAACACTTATCTACGAATAGTTTACACAAAACAATCTTTTCTTGTATTTTTCATCGTCGTTTCGGGCACCTGCAACACCATTTCCGGGTTTTTTTTTTCTTTAGAGCAATAAAAACCACACATGCCGGACACGACATAATAATACAATAATATATTTTGCACAATACAGATGTGAATTTTCATACACAATTTATTCTAATACGGTGCCGGCATTATTTAGTCGGCTGTCAATTGACTTCTATTGACTGGGTATCTCTCGACCAGTGTATATCCGGCTAAGATGTTTGCATTTGCGATCTAACTTTATACTTGTCGCCACCATATTTACATTTAATTAAGCATACGAAACCCTTGAGCACAGCGTATTGTATGTTATATTATGTGTGGCGAGTGCGAGTACGCGTGACCGAGGTCGTAGCCGTTTATAACCACGTATAACCGGACGCACGCCGAAGGGTATTTTTGCGTTGTCGGACGACGATATTATACCCATATTACAAGGAGTCAAAAAAAAACTCGATGTGTTTTTTATTTTATTTTTTTATTGTCGTCTTGTTCACACAATCGTGACGCGGCGTACGCACTGCGAATACAAATAACGTTTGGCGTTAACTATTAGAATATTTAGAACACACGTAATAAATAAATAAATAATCAACGAAAACAGCGCATCGGGAACATTGTAAAAAACGATTCGTTGAATATTTTCAAAAAACATTCCATCAAAATAAGTATAAAAACCATGATGATTATGTATTTTTCTATGATTATATTCATTGTACGGGTAAAATTAATTTAAAATAGACGTCATGAATTAAAGCTACTTTTTATTGGATGAACGACTGACAGAAAACAATGTCGTCATAATATGAACATCGCTATACGGCAAGAAAAAAAAAACCATTATTATCGATTAAATATGTCATATTTTTAAAATTATTGTTCATACGGCTGTAATTGTTTACAAATTAAAACGAATCACTTGTGTTTTAAATTTTTAATGGATAACATGTAAATTTCTATTATTATTATTATCATCATTTTATAAAACTAATTCGTAATAATGAGTCATGTCATTTTCAAACTTTTTTTATATATATATAATAATATGATGAAAACTTCAACCTTTTTGATAATATAAACAAGAAAATGTATGAAAAATATAAACTAATAATCTTCAAGTATAAATTGATAAATTGATTTTGATGCGAATGACTTGTGAAAAAATTAAATTGTCTATATTATGACTGAAATGACTTAATAAAACAAAACACTTGAATGTTTAACTTCTTATCAGCAAAATGTATTAATTACTATAATTTTTGTTCTTTTTCTTTTTTGTTTTTTTTTTTTTTTTTGTTTATGACATTGATTCGAAATAATACGTCGTATTATTATATTTAAAAATTAAAAATCGTTCTGTATAAACTTTTATTTATATAATTAGTTACAGACATCAAACTTTTTGATTATCTGAACGAAAGACATTTGAAAAATATAAACCAATAATAAAATTGTCAAGTGTAAATAGTAATGACTATATAATAAAATTATAATTATGAAAAAAGTTTTTTTTTTTTTTACTTTTATGAAATTCTTAAAACAATAATTAAGATTGTTATTCTTGTTCAAAATATTTTTATTTTAATAGGATTATACATACGCCATACATTGCGTGTAATTAATAATTCACAGTTAAGCTCGTGAAGTACTAATTATACTTAATATTTAATATTCAAAACCAATTACAGTCAATGCATATTAATAGATAACGAAACATTCTATACATTAGCAACGTTCCTTACAGTTTCTACTATATCAGGATTTAAACCGATAATTGGGTAACTCATGTTTAGACTAACGATATGTAGTATTTTATCACTATTTGTAGTAACTTTTTAAACATTGTATGCTACCCAAGATCAAATATTGAATTAGCATTATAAATACGTTTATTATTTGTTGGGAAAACAAACGCATGAAAAGGTAAAACTTAATATATAAAACGCAGTTTTAATTAATGGTAAACAAAGCTATGGAAATAGTAAAGAATAATAAAAAGAGTATAATAATACTGCATTACCAGTAAAAAAATATATAAAATGTACACTAAGATTACGGTTACATATTATAAACATTAAACTAGGTATTTTATTTTGAATCCGATTTCACGTAGAAATGATAGAATGTATTTTTATTGTTCAAGTGATACATTTTAGAAACTGTCATAGGTAGAGTCGACGGCGGAGACGACAAAAGTTGTCAGAATATATATTCCTCCCTTATATATGTTAATATTCTTCAATTTCCGGACTTGTGATACAAACTGTGTAAATAATGTGTCTAGAATATAAATATGTGTTACTTTTGACGTACATTCGTATTTTTGAACATTTCTTTATCGCAAGTTTTATCATCATTTTTTTTTCTTGTAATTGTCATCGTTATACTTTTAAATATCGTAGTCATATGAGACAAGTAAAAATATAATGGGATTATAATAAGTTTATTATGACTAAGTATTATTGAATATCCAACAAACTGTATTATTTTTTTTTATGAACTTAAAATATGTAATAGGTACTGTTTACAATAATGAATACGGTAATTAGCAATGAATATTTTGAATAAAAGCCTTTTCAAATCGATTTTTGATTCTATTTTAGATTTAATTAAACGAACGAATTGATCAAATAAAGAAAACTTGTGTTAGGTTTTATTTATTATTAATTTAATAACTCTAATGTCACGTTTTGGTTTTGCAAATACAGTGCATGGGTGTGATTATGTGTGTATTTGTGTATGTGGTAGGAGTGGGAGGGGGGTGGCAGCACAAAGAAAAAGTGAAGTACCATTGATATCATATAATATTAAGTAAGTTCGTACGCAGTAATTAATCATAACGAACGTAATAATATTATCTCGCGTATGATATAAATTACCAATATGACTTAATGGATGGTTTAGTCGGGTCGTTATTTTTACAACACAACACTGTATGCCGTACTGTGGATAAAATATAATATTGTATAATATTATTATGTCTTTGATTTCGGTATGGCGTTTAAACCGCGGCGGAGACGCATCAGCACAATATTTCGCTCGTACATTACACTGTGTTATGCTATATTATAATAAAGTCCCTTGAAATTTATCTTTCGGCGGTGTATTATAATATACGTATAGCGCGGACAAATACTGAAGTATATATACGAAGGTATAACCTACGCATAATATTATATTAATATTCACGCGTACAACTTTCAGCGCATAATGCATATTATTATTATTATTATTATTATTATTAAGTGCCCGGGCGGGTTTAACGCAACGGAGTGTTTATAGTCTGGTTTTCGCCGATTGATAAAGACCGTTATTCAGCCGTGCAATAATGGATTTTTGGATTTTATTGTGTTCGACGTTCGGGCGCTCGCGTACGGGGTCGCTTTTTAATAACAATAATTACTATTATTATGTTTACAATCGCTTGTTCTTCGCGCGCTCATTCCGGGGACAAATCGTTGTTGTTCAAAGCCCCGGCGGACCCGGCCGCGAACCCCGTGTAATTGCTATCGGTATTGCGTCGGATTAATTTTATCGCCAGGTGTTAATACGGCGCAGAACGGTAGGTATATTATTATAACAAGCCACATCCGTCCGGATATGCCGCGTGACATACGCTCGGTCGTGACAATGTTATTACAAACGTTTAACACGACGACGCGGATGCGAACCGATAATATTAATATACCTATACCTAACAACGATATTATATAATATCGATCGCGTTCGACGGTTTTTGTGGCGGCGTACACACATTTTTGTCCGTTTTTATCATTCAGTGTTCGTCGTCACGGTTTACATTTGAATATCGCATCATATCATGGCGTTATTGTGTATCGGCTATTATACGTATAGGGTGTAGGTATGCACTATCATATATTATTATTACGAAACGAAACGATATAGTACTGCGCACGTCGTAATGACGAATGATAATTGACGACTCTCCGTGTAAGATGTGTGTTTATTTTATGCTATGTAGACAACAACAATTTAAAGCACCCCGGAGACTCCATTATACGTATCGGAGCGCTGTACCGCGTACGTATTTCATATATCTCGTATATTTTATTCCCCCCCCCATCGTGCGTGATAACAACTGATAACTGATTAAGTTCGAACGCTGGTTCCCGGATACCGATTATACGTACGTGTGCTCATTACCTCATTACTCGTGTATAATTATTTTAGTTATAAAACAATTAAGAAAATTATTATTATTTATTTATTTTTAATTTTTTTTAATTTTTTTTTTTTTTTGATTAAGTACCGTTTTAGCTACAAAGTATACGAAAGGTTCACAGAAATGATGCGTAGGTACTTATTTATTTTTTATGGATATTTTAATTAAAAACAAACTGTTCCTTTTTTATTGATTTTATATGTACAGGAACGTAAACTTAATACGCCCAAACGGCGATTGCGTTAAATTAAGGTTTCGGTTATGTTAAACTGAAAAAAGCGTTGCATAAAGTGTATACACGCCGATGTACAATGTAGGTACATTACGTGTATGTCAGATATGTATGTATACATATATTTGATGAAAATAGTTTTTTTTTAATTCGTGGTAATTGAACATCAAACAAAAATAAAGCGTACTTTTTAAAACCCGTCCCATTCAATTATATTAATTATGTGGATGACAGCTGTTTACACTAAAACCGACGTATATATGGGTCAGAGAGTTGAAGATAAAAATAATAACAGTAAAAAAAAAAAAAAATAATAATAATAATAATAATAAGTTTGGTTGATGTAATTAAAGATCGACCGTCACGATAATTCAGGTATAATTCCCTTATAAACAAGAAATGGCAATGTCCACCACCGCCACCACCACCACAATTACTCTCGTATACCTCCATGTCACAACCACCATCGCTACAGCTATAATACGTGGACGGACGGATTAAACTAAAAGATTCAAATAGATATACTGTTTATTTTTTTTTTTTTTTTTAATTATTATTATTATTGTAATTATTAACGTGCCTTTTAGACCGGACCAATAACGGCTGTTAAACGCATAGCCGGCGGTCGTCTAATTAGCAAAACGGCTCGCGGCCCCGTTCGATTTCAACAAGAATTATTGCACGGGGAACGCAATAACATTAAAATAACATTACAACGTGCCGAACATATCGGTAGAGATTTTTACTACCGGAACGCGTGATAAACCCATGTGGCAGCCCGGACCCGCGCACTCTACGTGAACTAAAATAATTATGATGATATTGTTGTACTGTGCGTTTGTACGATATGTCGTCGTCGTACGCGGTCGGAGAGTAGTAGGTAACAAGTTTTCCGACCCCGTCGACGGGAAAACCGTTCGGCCGGGGTGGTGCGCCAGAGTGTCTCTTAAATCACTCTGCCGTTTACCGTGCGCGCACGTGAAAACGACGTTTTCCCGGCACATATTTATCGTGCTTTTTTATATTTATGTCAATGATAAAAAAAAAAAAAAAACCATTTACTCGTCCCGTGGCTCTGTAAACTTACCACCGTACTCGACCCCCTTGTCTCCGTGATCTCCAACGTCCTCGTGACTATTTATCCACCGCGGCGACGAGTGTTCAAACTAAATAATACGTGCGTCTAATATATAGTTATGACGCCGAGGAACAAAACTCGTACACAACAACAGTGATAATAATAATAATAATATGTATATACGTATATTTATATACCTAACCGTAATATTCTTCGGTAGTTTTGTTGCAGACGACGCGCGGAAACTATATACTGCCGGCCCCCGAGAACAAAAGGCTTTCATTACCCGAAATGCCGTTATTATTATGATATTACCATTCGTTTATCAATTCGTTCGTTCGTTCGTTCGAATGAGTAGAACAATGTCGCGCCAAAGTTTTCGGGGACTACGAAACTCTTTGCGATGACGGTTTTGCTCCGCTGCAGCGGGCCGTATTATGCGCGTTTCAATAAACGCGTCTTGTCATCCAGACACGCGGACTCGACCGAGAGTAAAAATCCGCTAACGACGTACGAGAAAACGCATAAACTGTAAGTCGTGCGCCGACGGATTTCGAAAACTCCGCCGAACACGTGTCTCGTCTTTAATTATTATTATACGTCATACCATGTGCATACGCGCCACCGAGTCAATCATTATCATCTACCGCCGTACAGTGTAATACAAAATTATTATTATTATTATCATCCTTAGAAGCTCACACCACGTTCATAATAATAAACGCCATCTCGGCAAGCCGACACGTGTCATGCGCTCAAGTTTGTCGGATATTAAACTGTTCAAGATCGCGGCGGTCGTCGCGTGCCCCGGTGCTGCGTTCGAGTTCGTTCTCTCACCACGTCATAGAAATAACAATACAGTGCATTACCGGTCATTGGACATTAGTTTTTCTCGAAAGATACAATTCAGCCTTTTAATGAAATTTGTATCTTTTTTTTTTTTTTTTATTACTGTGTACATACATTAATATAGACTGTACGTGACGAAATCGTTTTCGTTTAATTTCGATTCGTTAACATTGTAGAGCACACACCAACCTCCACGTTCAGAGGAACGCGCACGACGACAATACTAAGCCCGTTCATTCGACTAAAAAGAACGATCGATTTTTGTGATAATCTCGGTAACATATAAGTTGTACCTTTTCTACCTATGTATTATGCTATGTATTTATTAGGCTTAAGACCGATGTAATCGGGTTTTTCTTTTTAAATCCTTTTTGAACGGCTTTACATCTAAACTCGTTATGATTAAAACTTCTACGATCCATACATGGTTTGTCAAATGCTGTCACCGTGTAGCGTAAAATATTATAACGTGATTTTAATGTTCCATTAAAGATTAATAGTAATTATTATAGTGATTATTATTCACTATTAATAATCAGTAAATTAATAAGTATGCCACATCGGAAAAACTATTCTAAGCCGTAACATTTCATGTTTTTATACATTGAATATGAAAAAAAAAAAAAATTAACGATTTAAAAATAAAACCATTCTTGTATTGATTTTCTTGTACCAAATGTCCCGTACTATTTTGATTAAATTAAATCAATATTAAATTCCGGTTAGTAAAACCAAAACGTTTGAAATAAAAGGGTGTGAAAAAACGATTGATATAAAAGACATTTAAAAAAGAAAAAGTGGATCTAAATCGCAAATCGTTTACATCCCTGAATTCCAGTTGAGAAAATAGTCCCTGGAGTCTTGGAAAAAAATAGGAAAAAAAGATAAGACTTAACATGAATGCAATTTCTTTCTCGATTTAAAGTTTAATGTTTAATACCAATTTAATCTATTGTTTATAATTTGTTTCTCATACGTACAATTTACTAGATAAGCATCATTGCTAAACTATTTTTATTTGTTTTGACACATATGCTTACATAAAAGAAGAAAAACAACAGCAAAAAAAAAAGTTATCACGTGCAATTAATAAAGTAAGGTTAGACTTTGTATAATATAAATGGATTTAATAAACATAAATAAACGGATAATTAATTATAAACACATCGTTGAATCATTATTATTTTTGTCGACAAATATTATGATTTAGAAAACTATTTTCAATGCTATGACTAATAAATTAATTAAACAAAGAAAATATTAATTAAAATGTTAATTGACTCAAATTTAAGTTGAAATTAGTTTCAAAAAAAATTTTTTTTTGTAGATAAGAACTACGTTAAAACAAAATTATATTTCATAAGAATAAATGAAACTTTCAACTCGGCAAATATTTCAACTGCCATCATCACAATGGGATTACGCGTTGAACTTTTAGACACTGAATAGCAGTGCATTATCTAAACAATAACTCATATTTATTTCTTTTTCTCGTGAAAATATATGATTATTTAATAAGTCAAACTATGTAACGAAGTAACTACTTATATCTGTCAACGAAGATTATTCGCAATAATTGTTGGTATGTTGTACAAATGCAGCTACAATAATTATCGAACATCTGTTAGGAAATAGTTTGTAATTACTTAATATTGTTATGGTCGGGTCGGTTTACCTTTCGATAAACCGTTTTATTATCGGACGATTAAAACAGAATTTTATTGTACGATTCGAACTTTAAAATTACGCCTGTAGTTAAGTTATTAAGACAAGGACGTTATATCAGACTTGTTTCGTACAGACCAAGAAAATAAAAATAAAAGTACAACTATTATTATGATTATTATTATTATTATTATTATTATTAATATTTGTTCGAAATAACTTTTAACGAATTCCGTGACGAGGGGAGTGTCATCTGTCGTTTTTCTATGCACTTGTGCGAACGAATTTTTTCGTCATTACACGGAGGGTTTTTAGGTTTCTTCGCTATTCATACACACCATTAACCGTCGTCGAGTGGTCTCTCTACATCACAGTAATAGTACTCACCTATTCCAGCAGCGACGGAAATTATGATTGCTGACACCGCGGCCACGTACCACGTCACTCGCCGGTCCGCCATAGCTGGGGACCGGAGGAATTAGAGCGGATATCTGTGAAATCGACGAGTCTTTATTATCGAAAACAACACTGCCGTCTACAGTCGTTGTAACCTAACGACGATGGTCACCTACTACCGCGGTATTTAAATCGTATAATAATTGTCGTGTGCGGTTCGTGCGGAGTACGGATCGTTTTCAATAATTGTCCTACTAGCTTCCCTAACTATCACTCGGAGTTGGCGCGAAAGACGCTCATTTCCGCGAGGCTCGGGAACCCGCAGAGACGACGGGCCGAACTCGAATCGTCGTCGTGCTCGATAAGAGACGGTAATAGTTATATTATTGTTACTGCCGCTGGCTGTGCGTGATTTGTAGGCCGGTGTGCATCGCGCAAATCGAATATCAGGAAAAGTGAAAACGCACACGCTCGCGGAAGACGGCAACGGCCGGTGGAACGGACGATCGAATGGCACGACGAGAGGGATAAAAAAAAACGTGCTCAAAGGGTCCGGGCAGAAAGGCGGCGCACTTGGAACTCACACGCGTTTCAAGGGACGTTGGCCGACGGCGGGACCGGCGACGAAAGCAGAAACCGCCATCTGACGGCCGGCGGCGACCGAACGTTACGTGCGGTGACGACCTTGTTGTACGCGGCGGTGGGATTGTTTTGTTTGTTTTTTTTTTTTTTTTTCACTCCTAACCGAATTATTACCGTCGTTAATATTATTTTTTAATATGTTTTTTTTTTTTTTTTTTTCATCAATTACGCTTAAATATTAGCTGGCTCGTAAGCCCAAGAATAATATAAATTAGTGTGATTATCCGCCGGCAGACAGATTTTTCTCGGAGCTGAGTTTCCGAATCGAACATTTTGCTCGTGGCGTATACTGTTCATCGTTCGACTGCTGTCTATAAAAATATAACTATGACTTGTTACGAGAATAAATAATTAAAAGTCACGTGACTTAAATTTATTAAAAAAAATTGTTTAATCGTTTTTAATTTTATAATACCGCCTGATCCATATTACAGACAGTATAATATATAGTTAATTGTCAGAACATTAGTTTATCTGTAAAAAAATAATAGAGTATCATGTGCTTCATAATATTAAAACGTAAAATTTATAATATTTTACCTCACTGACAGTAGATAAAAACGTCAAACACTGGACTATATACGAAATACCAAATGTAATTCAATTAACAAATTATGCACAGCTAGAAAATAAGTTTTTAAAAATTAAAAAGGTCTGATATGATTTGGTTTTAGTTTTAATGTATTCGAATATCATGGCGGTACGTAAATTATATTATTACCGCATATTAATATGTATATGTACTGTGATAAAATTTGAAATAAATAGTTTTAAACAGAATGTTTGTCTGGATAACGAAAACTGAATTTGGATATTTTCAACGCACTGATTTTTTTTTTTTTTTATGGTATGTGGTTAACCGTGTTTTAATATGACATTTTTTTTTTTTTTTTTAATTGTTTGATTAAAATGTTTTTATAATAGATTTTTAATTAAAATAGTATTGAATGAAGCTTTAGCAACAATTTATACAGACTTATATAAGTTGGTTTTTATTTCTGATCCCGGTAAACGAAACATCAATAATTATATAATCGATTCTAGAAACTAATAAAAATGCATTTCAAATCTGAATGAAATTATTGAATGAGATTCCGAGACAATATTATGGGCAAGTCGCCGACAATATTTTACATAATACAATTACAACCGGGTCATGTACTCATGTTATTCATAGAGCTGAAACCAAGTACATGCACTGACATATTATATAGTGACTCAATAGAATAATTAATAATGTTTTGAATGGATTGATGGTGTGAAGTACGTATAAATTTGTCGAAAGATCAATGTCGTATTACACGTGCAAGCCTGAATCTATTATTATAGAGTAGTAATTGCATGTTAAACTTGTGACAGGGCATAATGGACTAAATTACTAAGTGCAATATTTTCTTTGAAATCGGTACACTTTTCCGTCTTTAAAAAGTGAACTTTTTTTTAAAAAGCTTTCTTGGATATTTTATACCTGTTATCATCAACTTCCAAGTAATAGCTAGTACTTTCAAATCGTATTATACTAATAAATAGAATAAGGAATTTGTCTCTCTTAGGAAAAAGAAACATTAAGACACAGTATCTTGAAAAAAATAAATATCATTAAATATTAATTTAATTTGTATTATTATATTTTTCCTTGACCATTATCTATATGAATAAATAATATATAAGTATTTATAAATATTATGTTTATAAAAATAATTACATATTATTTACTATAGTGTATAGTAGTCTTCAAATAAAAATCGTTATTGAGTAGAACACAGCAAGTTATAATAGACAAATGGATGAATAGATGAGCTTTATTTTATTTAAATGATGAATACTTGTATGCGAACGAAAATTTGAATCTAAGATAGTAATCCAGCGTCAAAGAATATTTTATATTATGTTTATATTACTACGAGTAAACAATTAAACTAAAACTAATTTTTGTATTGTTGTATTGTTTTATAGTAAGACATCTAAAAATCCTGCAGCGTCGATTTATTTTCCTGAATTAAGTTATTAAAATTGAAAAAAAGTATGCATTTTTATTTAAAACGCATGGTTAATTTAGGGTTTCCCGTCTATTTTTATTGTATTTTCCCAATTATATAGAAATGTGCTGGTAATTTAACCCCACTATGTACTTAATCGATCGAAGACCCTCAAAGTTGATTATTAAAGTGAATTGACTGTTCCAAAACGTGATGAAATACAATAAATAAATAAATAAATAAATAAATAAATAAATGCACACACTATTTATAAGATCGCAATAAATTCCTTTCGCTCAACTTCGACAAAATCTAAAGCATTATTATATTTTATAAATTTTTAATTCATATTTAATTATTTCTAATAATACGTTTTAATATTGTGCGTTTTACCATAATATTAGTATGTTAATCAATTGTTTATGAGTAATAATCGCTAGACATATATAAAATATACAGTATATAGTAAAATACGAATGATTGAAAATAATTCAAGAGTAAACTATGTGAAGTTATTTTTTCATATAGATTAATTCCTAATATTTTTTTTATATTTTTTTTAACTAGTTCTGTATTTAATATGCTTTAAATGTTTGTTAAAAAAAAAAAGTTCTAATTCAAATCCTGATGCTCAAAATAAATTTTGTGAAAATAATTGGCACCTAATTGTATTGTAGCTAAATTACAATTTACATAAGCTTGATTTAAAATATATAATTAAAATGTATATACTATTACATATAATTTATAATTTTTAAATTAAAATCAAGATTAATTTTAAATTTTTAAATTTATTATCTTATGATAAAATTATCAATGAAAAAAAAATATACTGATCGGTCATATTTTTATGAAATCAGTAAAATTGTAATAATAACAGAATCGGTGAATGGTATAACAATAATAAAAAATGTCACTATAAATCATTAGACGATTAATGAATAAAACGTTAAACTAGCATAATAATAACTATATGTCTGTGGTATTATAGATACTCAATAAAAACCTAAAAATAATATCAATATTTATTTATGATACTCGAATTATATTTAGAAACTTGAAATGAAACTCAAATTATACACTTTTTTTATGTCTTTTGAGTATCAACCATATTATATTCCGTTGAATTGCTATTAGTTGTCTATATGTATATATATATAAATAAATTGATTAAAAGCTAATCTGATGCTTATTAAACTAACGTTTCGGACCACCAACAAACCTTAAGTCTCGTGTAATAAGAAGAAAGGATTAAATTATGTGAGGTTTATATTTACACAAGTAACTATCATAAAATATTTGAAATTTAATATGTTAATGGTATGAATTATTATATATTATAAGGTGTATGCTAATTTTGCCCGTTGTGTTAATCAAATATTAAGTTGATAGGCTCTAAGAGTGTATAATGTTATTATTAAACAGTTTTCATCATTTTCATACACTATTTACTAATAAATATGTTACAAATCATATAATAGTGATTTTAATATTTGTTATTTAATAATTGCATATATGAGCCACTTATGTTTTTATATGATTAAACAATTTTCGTATAATTGTATATTTATCATAACATAACCTATTAATAATAATTCATTCAAATACCAAAAAAAAACAATTAGTAATACACAGTTGATTGACTTGTAAATATGCAATACGCTAAATGAACAAAATATTGAGCACTTTAACCTATAATTTGTGCTCTGATAATAATTATTATGGTACCTACATTGAAATTAATATATGTAATGTCTATACATTTATTTATCAATTTAAGGATACTACAGATTACAATTCAAAATATATATAATTTCAGTATCTGTATTTCAAATCATTATATTCTATTTATATATATATATATATATATATATATAATATTCAAGTTCAAAGACTATAATTAATATAACTTGAATATAGTATATTACGTATATCACATGTAAGTAATTACACAATTTATTAACATCGACATAGACAATGAATTAATTTGGAAATCATTTCGAAATTTATATACGTTTTATGCCTGTAATGAATAAGTCAATTGATATGAATATTGTTAAAATATAATATGAGTGAAGTCTAATCTATTTATCCAAAAAAATTTTTTCTACAAAATTTGATTTAATTGGATTTACACAGATATATATTTTATTATAATATCAAACACAATTTTTGCATAAAAATAGAAATTTTTTCTTGTGTAAAATATCTATTAATATTAAATACATACTCTTGAATATTTTTCTATAAATAACTATATTAGGTATACAATATTATTAACGACTAAAAATAATAAATTATTATTTAGGATGTTAATCAAAAAAGATAATTTAATTTCAAAATAATAATTATGTTTAAAATGATAATTATTTTGTATTATACATAAGATTTTAGACTATTATTCATGAAAAAAAAAATAAATAATACAGATTTTTATATTGAACTTTATCTTTTTAGTTTCAAATTCAGAGATTAATTAACTATAATTATTACTTGCATAATGTTAGTTATATTTTTTGAAATATTCGTCTTATGCTTTTGATAATTTTGCGTTACAATAAGTAAGCTCTCATAAGCAATTGATAATTAATATAATTGCTTTACCATAGCTACAACAAAATAAAATAAAAATAGACACACCAAATCTGAATAGAGTTTTTTTTTTTTTTTTACAGTTAGATTTTTCATAAAGTTAACCCTACCAAACGATGCATAATAATCATTATAAAAAAGTTACTATAACAATCTCGTTTGTAAATTATATTTTAATCATAATTTTATTTTAAAACATATCTATGATTCAATACTTTTATATTATTCCATTCAGCGGAGAAAATATCAAGTAAGAAGTTATGTTTACTACTGATTTATTTTTATATACACATTGATTTTTAATAACCAGATTAATTTTTATTAATACGTTTTTTAAGTAATGTTTTCGATTCC